AGATACTACTTACCAGCTAAGTGCTATTTCTTATTTTTATAACGTTTTTTCTGTTGTTTTGTTCGCTGACGAAGGCTTTCTGCCGACACGTTCGCTGTTTTGTTACGTTTAATTTTTCAGGTTTAACCATACTCTGTTTTACTCATTTTATTTTGTACTAACCTGATTGCAGTCTCTCCCCTTATTACCCCTGTGGACTATAAAAAATGGCCCATGACAGCATCAAAAGAAAATATCTATATGAATATGAGACTCTGCAGGAATTTGGCATACCCAAAAAACTGACAAGACTGGCAGTGTACATGTACTGGTAACATTAAACAACACAAAAAGCAAAATCAAGGCTGAGGGAGAATAGTTTCAGATTGAACGAGGTCTAAGATAAGGAGACTCACTGTATAGTATTGGATGCTATTTAACCTAAATTAGAGAAAGTTATAAGAAACATACATATTGACACCAGAGGAACAAAAACAGGATATTTTTTGGGAGACACTCAAGACCCACAACAAGTAGGCACTCCCTACAAACAAACCCTTCAGTACCGGTATCTTGCATTTGCTAATGACATAGCACTGTTAGGGAAAAGTAGTTAAGACACATTGAATTAGAAGATGTATCTCTACAAACGTGGGCAGATAAGGGACGTGCTTGGTACCTGCCGTAAATAAAACAGCACCTACAGGGCTGCCAGCTATGATGCTTTACAATTGGAAGTAAAGGATCATGATTACAAGTTGCCTTTAATGGATATGAGGCTAGAGGCGAAGGTGGTAACCTCTAGCCGATAATTTTTACTACGCAGCCCTGAGAAGGTGCTCCAAGGCGACCGTTTCGTCCCAACTACTTCGCAAATTAGTTGCGCGGTAGAAACCCACTGTAGAATCCCTCTTTAAGGTGTCCCACGCTTCTCCTGGTGGGGGAAGATTTAGGATGTAAATTTACCACCCCGAAAGTCGATAGTGTGCACTGTGTGCAAACATGTGTGCAAACACAGTGTCGGACCGACCGGGTGTCTTTGGGTTGGGGCAGCCCCCAGCGGAACCCGATCGAGCGGACTCGGGTGGGAGCTGTCCTGGCAAAGAGACATCTCCAACATGCTGCTTCGTGGCCCGATACCGGGCTTAGGTGGGGGAATGCTTTGGGGAGGGCATAAAGAACATTAGCTCGATGGCATGCTGACGCCATTTCTTAATGTGACATTACCTCTGTACAAACAATAAAAAAACAACATACATGATTATGTAAAGAGAAGAACAGACAGATGAAACCATTAAAATTAGAAAATACATTTTTGAAAAAGTAAATGAATTCAAATACCTAGGATCTTTATTACTGGTAATGAAAGAAAAGAATTACTAACAGAAATAAAAGAAAAAACATCCTCCGGAAACTAGGCATACTCAAAACTAAAAACATTACAAGAAAAAAAAAGAAAACTATATATAAAACTGTAACCAGAGCAGTTGTAACATACGCAAGTAAAACTTGGACCCTAACAAAAATGGCAGAAAACCTATTAAATACAATTGGAGGAAAAAAGTTGTCTGGAAAATATATGGACCAACAAAGAATGAATATAGATGGAGAATACGTACCAACCAGGAAATGTACAGATTATATAAGGATCCCACCATAGTAGCGGAAATAAAAAAGGGCAGGCTACACTGGGATAGACAGACTAATAGACACTTAGAAAGAATGACAGAGGAGTGTAGAGGGTCCCCCACCAAAACTCCAAAGGAAAACAGCTCAAAGGCAGATCTAGGCTTAGATGGATAGATCATGCGGAAAAAGATCTGCAGCAGCTAGGAATCCAAGAATGAAAAAGCATCAGTTAGATTAGAGTGGAAGGAAATGGTGAGGTGCTACAAAGCCCTACATGGACTGTAGCACCACAGAGATGGATAGACAATAATGAAAACCCACAAAAATCATACTCCTTAAAAAATATACTAAGAAAGACTGTACTAGACTGTTGTCGAGTATGGGAGTACCCTAATAATTGTTGCTCACTAATTATGTTTGATTAAGGGCATTTTGTTTTTGAGAGATTAATTAGTTAGTGAACCTATTCACTGGCTTACTTGGTGATATATTTTTATGCTTATTATGACATATTGTCTAGTCTGTTTTGCGATGTATGTTTAATTAGTTGGCAGTCATGAAAGGAACTTTTGAGAAGAAGGTTGTGTTTTATTTCTCTCTGATAGCAAGCTGTGCTATACATGTGTATATGGAATTAACAGTCTCAATTTAATTATAGTTGTATTTATAATGGAAATAGGACTTCGAGTTGATTCAGTGCTAGTACGACGTATAAAAATGTTTGAAAAAACTTGATGAATAAACAATCTAGTATACACCAGGATTTTGACAACTCTCATCTTTAGAAAATTTTTATATAAAAAAAAAGGTAGCACTAAACCACATGCACTTTATGCATCTGATGTTTGTTAAGAAACACTCCACCCCTCCAAGGCGGCTGTTATAACTCATGCATTTAGTTAAATCAGCCCAACAAACAGAATACATCTGGTTCGTTGGAGATTCTCAAATATTTCTTATGATTATGCGATTTTGTATAGTTGTGGAACAAACCTCATATTTGTTTTTGATCTGTTCTGCCGCCCACACAGCATACTTTTGATTTACTTGCTTGTCTTTGACACCTTTACCCGAACTGACAGCAAGATAGGATGCCGACTGGCAGAGTGCAAAAAGAAGGCATGATTTTACAATGGAAAAATATAATTCTAAGAGGCTAATGAAGATATCAGATGAATTGAAAGGTTTTTTCTCTCATCATATTTGACATAAGGTTACAATCACAATGTATACAAATGTTATATTTCCAAGTCATCACAGAGTGAGTAAACAGCTTTTTACCCTTGTATTAGTACACTTTCAAAGGTAATGAAACAAAAGGGAAATAGATTAATGATTGAATAATGAAGCTTTTGTTGCTAGATGTTTACCTTTGATGTTTGATTGCTTTGGGTTTTTTCATGAAAAATCAATTTAAAAGTATTGACAATGCTCACCAAAAAAAGTCCATTTAAGGCTCTGAGATTGTTTGGATTCAGTTTCACTGCCTGAGCAAAATATGTCCTGGCTAACTCCATGTTTTCACTTCCTCCTTGTGTGTAGCGAATCTGAAGATGTGTGAATATAATATACATACGAATAAGAGTAAATCAATTACATCAGGTGATATAAGAGGTGAATTTGTATAAGTTTTAGTAAATAATGAAAATATCATTTAATGTAAAGAAAATTTTTAATTAAAAGAATTACAGATAGGCGCCTAAGTATTTTATGTATTTAGAACATTTCTTTTTAATAAGATTAGCTCAATCCTTCTCATTCTATGCTTTAAACAAATATGGTAACTTATTCAGATTTAAAAAATCTATACACTTGTATTTTCTTTTACAAATGTAAGTAACAGTGATAGAATATTTATGCAATATACCTCTGCATATTTCTGATGAAAGAGATGGTTGTGAGGGTTAGACATAATCAACTCTTCTAGACAGAAAGCAGCATTGTTGTAATCGTGCTGGGACAGGTAGAGGTCACACAGTTCATTCCAGGCTTCATAATCAGTCATGAAACTAAGAAAAATGTAAAACTATAATGAGCAAAGCCATCTCAGAAGTGTTCACAAGTCTTATGTTGATCCCATTAAAGATGACAAAGCACATATTTTATACAACAAAACTTCAAATAAAGAGAAATGATGAGATATTCTGGTAGGTATTTTAGCAGCTTTGCGGAAGCCATCAAATATAATTTTTCTTGGGGTAATATTTGTATACAGATGTGTTTAATACTTGTAATTTTATGGTAGGCACAGAGACAACATGACTGAACTGAACCTCTGGTGGTTCAACAACTTTGGGTAAGGGGCTAAATCCTTTAATCAAGAAAATGTTTGAGTTAAGCAGACTAAAATTAAACACATTTTGCTTCATTATTGGTAACATCAATGGTTCTCACTAACCTCTTCAGATATTCATTTAACTTGTGTATTGCTTCTGTTATCTTTTGCCTTGCTTTCAAAATTGCAACTTGTCTTTTTCTTGCATACTGTAACAAATTAATTTTCATTACTATTATATAGGATTAGACCTGTAAGCACACTCATGAAAAAATAGCTGATGTCTTTACTTCTCTTGGGAATTGAACTTGAACATTTTGGTTTGTCACCTGAACTATGAACTTCGAAAAGTTTTTTTTAAAACATTAAAAATAATCTATAATTTTGTAAAAATTAGTCTAAATTTGTTTAAACCAAATAAATAAATTAAAAATGTCAAAAATCGTCAATCGTCTTATTTAAAAGACACTACATCAAGCTCAAACATTTAGAAATATTCACTTACCATATTGGTTTCATCTTTTTCTAAAATACTCTTATATTCTTCTTCTGCCTCAGAATACCTGAATGGCACATTAAAAGAAATTATAAGAACATACGTATTTGATATCCTCAAGATTTAAAATATCAATATCAGAATGCATCCACTGGAACTTACAAAATACCTGGTACCAATACAAAAGCTAATAAAAAAATATTCAAAAGATTAATTAATTCATAAACACAACTCACTCTTCTCTGGCCTCATATAGCATGCCTTGTAACCGCCTGACTCTGATGCTTTTAGGAAATTTGTTTTCAAGTGCTTGTATACATGACTGGAAAAGAGCAACAAAAAAAAACCCAGTTTATTATTTTAAACATTCAAATAGCCCAGTGACTGCTCAATGCTTTTCCCCAGCAATAGCTTACAAAGATCTTTGTTGAATGTATATTAGGAAATGTATACACACTATCTGACTTGTCATTCAATTTTTTCTAAAGAACTTAGCGATCAATTGTTTATATGTTTCGGGCCCAGTGAAAATAATAAAATAAATAGTGCAATGGCACAGAAAATCGAAATGCTCAAATGGTATAGGATAAAATTTTGACTACCTTTACATGTTATATTGTCATACAAATAATACATATGACACTATCTTTATTTTTAATTTATCATTTTAGAAGTGTCCTAATATTTTCCACGATTGCACATTTTTAGAACATGTTATTTAAGTTAATAATGGGTTCAACAGAAACCAACAGATTTATCTAGAGAATAACAAAATATAACTAGCAAAAGTTTTCACACAATAAATATAATCAGTGTGGTTACCTCTGCAATATCATATCTTTGACAATCAAGAGCTGCTGTGCAGACCTGCTCATACACTAACCACACTGCAAATATCAATAACATAATAATAATAATAATAATAAAGTTCATTTCAAAAACACGCTTCATCCCCAAAGGCTCGAAGCGCGGTACAAAGTCAACAAAAAACATATCTATAATTTACCACATTTAAAACAAAGCAACACTACAAAAACTAATTACAAGCAACAATCTCAAAGTCTTTCTAGCCATTTCAAAATAAAACAGTGCTCATAAAGTTGAATGATGCATATATTTATGCACTAACACTAACATTACAACAATGTAACTTAATTATTGTTCTTTCCTGTTAGTTTGTTCAGCAGCAAAGACAAGCATATAGACATAATTGACAATTTTATTTTAACATAATAGTAACATATTTATTAAAGGAGCTGTAAATTTGCTGGTAATACTGACCCCAGCTTCTAATCTTATGAGAAATAAAGTAGACAGGTTAGAGGAATTACTAGGTTAATGAATCCATTCCACCCAGCTGTTAATCCATAGCCGGAGAAAACCTTGAAAACTTTGAAACTGCTACTCCAATGAGAGGCTAACAACATAACCAAAGCACCACAAGGCATACATTTTCAGATCTTTACTTACATTCATCTCCAAGTTTTTGGCAACTGTCCATTAAAACTGTGTCCCATATATTGACTACCAAGTCTGAATCCCTTGTTTGGTCATCTCTGAATTTTTTAAGAATTGTCCGTGCCTCTGTTCAAATAAAAATAATTATCATTGAGAGAATAGGAAAAGTTTTATTATTAAATTAAATACAAAAATGTTAATATGCTATTTAGTTTTTTGCTCTTACTCTTATCATTATTATATTGTTTTGAAAAATAGGCCTAATATTTATTCAATTTTAAACTAAAAAGTAGGCGTAGCACTTTCCTTTAACAGCAGAGCCTTGATTAGCCCTGAATCATTTTAGACTCTAATTGTGAATAAATGTAAATAAAATAAAACAGTATATTTTTAAGGCTGTCAAATTTTTGTTACAAAATACAAGCCTACGATATTGAATAATTTAATTGATAGTCATTTATTTATAGGTAAATAGGTAAAAGTACATTTCAGATGTGTACATTATTTCTTAACAAATTTCGTATTTTCGCATGTAAATTTATTTGATTCTTTATTAAATTAAACCCAGACATGTAGCTAAAACTAAATTGTACAGGGATAACTTTTATTTTCATTACTTGATAATGCATCTTTGAACACCCCAATGGTACATAGAACTTCAAAGATCTCTCCATTTTGTGATTCACCCTATCTGCCAGATTTTTTCATCTCTAAGAGTGTGTACTAAATTAAATTTTGAAACTGAAGGCATGTTCACAAAAACAAAACAAGAAATTAAATTTATATTAAACTAATTATTGATGTTTATTGTAAATAAAACAACAGTTATTATAACAGAAATATATCATGCCATTGGAAGTTTTTCAAATCCAACAATATTTATATATGGTTTATGAAAGATATAGCTACAAAGTCAAAGCTTTGCCTATGTCCATCAATTCAAGCAGAGGACTATATTGCTGTCTTGACCTACTGGTATTTATATAGCTATATTAGTAAATATGAAATTAAAGCCTCCAGCCCTGAAGGAATGGATATTATGAGTTCAGTACCTTCAGTATTTGAATATGGATTGAATCATCAAGTGCATGTGTACTAAATTTGGTCTAGATCCATTCACTTATGCAGGAGACTTTGTTTGAAATTAAATTTATTTTGTTCATATAAGAAAAAAAAAAAGAATTTTGGGCCCTTCAGCCCGAATGGAAATTTTTTTAAAGTTCAAAGCCCCTCAGTATTTCATTCTTTTTTGTGAACATGCCTTCAGTTTGAAAATTTTGTTTAGCATTCCATGTTATTGGTGAAAAAAAATCTGGCATAAAGGGTGAAAAAAAAAATGATTCACTTTCACATTCAGAGGATTTTAACCATTGACCATTGGGTGTGATTGGGGGCTGTTCAAAGATGCTTTAGAAATCAAAAGAAAATTTATCGATGTACAATTTAGAGTTAGTTAACTGTTACTGCCTGGAGTTAATTTAAATAACAAATAACACAAGTTTACAAGCAAAAATAAGAAATTGGTTGATAAATAAATAAAATATGCACCTGAACTGCATGAATGACATATACCTACTTAGGCTACTTAGATAATTAATATAAATAGGACTATCAAAGCATTCAATAGCCTTATTAAGCCTAATTAGTTTATTAGCATGCAGCAGGGTAAGTAATAATATCATCAATTTTAATTTATTATTAACAATGGCCCAAATGGCCATGAACATGTAAGTTAGTATGTTAAAAATGACACCATAAAATAAAAGCATTGATAAATTGTTAAATTAAAAACTTAGCCTACATTTGGGCACATATTTGGCCCGAATAAGAAGAATTTGCATAAAGAATCAATTTAATTTTTAAAAACCAATCATACTAGTACAGCATAGTCTTAATTAATTAGACACTTCAGAAAAGCAAGGGAGACTACTAAAAAATTTATATGGGAAATGGACGTCTGCTTTCTTTATGAAATTCAAAGACTACGTCTTTCATATTAAAACTTGCAGAGCAATGTATATTGATGTATATGTGTACCAATTCTCATTGATGTAAGTCGTGTTCAACATTCAATATGCTCATCCTAGTAACCTGCATAATCACAAGGTAGCTCAACCTAATTTTGACCACGCCCCTTTTTATTGGCAGAAAATGTTGATACTGATACTTAGGAAATATTCAATTATTACCACAATTGACATCAAAATATTTGATAACTTGTGTTTTAGAATGAACTTAGAAGGCATTTAAACAAGAATATTTGAATTTTCAATCTAAAAACCTAGTCCATATTATAAAGGCAGTGTCTATACGTCCGGCGAGCGGAAAAATAGTGCGGGAGATATTCTTCCGCTGGCATGCCACGTGACCGCCTGACGACAAATATGTGTTATTATTCCGGCAGACATGTCATCTTACAAGAGGTCGCCGGCAAAATTTAAAAACACAAAATTTTTAAATATGAACCAAACAAAATAAGACGAATACTTGCCACCCGACTGTCAACATACCTACTGTCAAAAAAGTTATATTTTAGGCTATTAATATTGCGTGAGAAGTAGGCTACCCCAACAGCACACTACATTAGCCCAATATTAAGATATAGGGTCGCTTTCTTTGTGAACTTTCAGCCTCCTCGCCTTAATTATTTATTACCCTTACTATCATTATTTTCCTTTCCCCCTCGCTCTCAGTATTTTTTCCTTCTAGTAAGCATTGCTTCCCCCCCCCCCCCACTTATTTCTTCAAATGAAGTGTATACTCTGCCGCCCCCCCGCCCCATTGCATCTCCAACGCCAGTTTATGATCAACTATAAGTGGTCACGTGACAAGACTGACGGACAAATAACTCGCCCAAATTTGTTACAGCGTTCATGTCACCTGGTCACCGGACGAATATCTCAAAAATTATTTGTCCGGTCGCCGGACATGTAGACACTTCGTTATAAATGATCATAATTTGCTGTATGCAAAACGTCATGGGCAGCCATTCACAGTCACTTACTATACTACCTTAGTATTATTCTCATAGTTTCATTCATCATAAAATTAATGTCCCATGTCCAGGTGCAAACACCATTAAATCATAATCATTGGTCAAAGAAAGCTTTAACTTTAATTAATTAGTCATGTGCAAAAGTTGAAAGTTCAATTAAGTAGTCCCATACCAGTATTATTTTACCTTTCCTTAAAATGCCTTATATAGACTATATATAATGGTCGCTTAGTAAACAGCACATCCGTATAGTCATAGTATTTAATGCAATAATATTATATAACATTGTTAAAATTAATATTAAAATTAGAACTTTCAATACCAGCACTTAATAAAATTATCATTAAAACAAGAATTGTTATGCGTGATGCGATCAGAGAATGGGGTCACAAGATGTGGAGGCGAAGGTGCAGTCCATGATCCATCATAATCATACATAGTCATAGTACTCGCACTTTAAATAAAAATTCACAGCTAAAAAAGTACTAAATCTAGCAAGTTGATTCTGGTTTCATTTTTTTGTTTGAAATTCGCTCTATACAACTGTAATATTTTTAGGATTTTTTTTTACCGCAGTTACTAGTCTTAATGATCATAATCATAGTCATACTTTGTAAGGGTTCAGTTGTTTATCGATAACAGGTAGCACACAATAAAACAATGAATTATTATGTGCAACAAAGAGAGTTTGAAGAATTAACATGAGGAATGAGATAATTGGGTCATATCTTAAAAAATCAACATAAATAGTAGTATTTAAACATATAAAAATTAGAAAAAAAATAAATATCCACCATCAATTGACATTTGCTGCGCCATTTTGTTAGTTATAAAACTTGTTTGACAGAAGGTAAAAGAAAACAAAATAATTACGATTTACAAAAAATATTTAATGGTCTAAGAAGAATAAATAATATAATGTATAAAACATTAATTAAATAGAATTAAAAATATATTACATCTTATTAATTTCGTATTATTTATGCGAACTGTATATATTTTGGTTTGTTCTCATGACTTAATTTTTAAATTTGTATGTTTAGAGTTTCCTAGCAACATTTGAGGCTGCTGTGTTGTATAGACAGTGTGAAGACAACATTTTCTGTAGACAAATCGAAAATAAATTCTGCAAAATGATACCTCCTAACGCATCACTTGTCAAATATGACAACCCTGTGTTGGTCAGTAGAAACACAGACAAGAAAACGCCCAGGGTAAGTTAATATTTTAAAATAAATAGTAAATCACTTGACTGTGACTTGAATTTTAAGTTGAAATTTTGTTTAATTTTCATACAAAAATACCACTATGAGTATAATGTACATCTTATCCTTTGTATTTGTCCATTACTTTAAAACTTAAAAATTGAATTGCAATAATCCAAAAGATTGACATAGTTGAAGCTTGTGCAACTGTCTGAAAATTAAGACATTTAATTGAAATTCAATAACTATTTTAATTTAGAATTCTTTTTTAATGCCTTCGCCTTCAATACATAATAAAATATATTATATTTACTAAATTATTGAATGGTAGATATGAATTCAGATCACTAGCAGCAAAGACTAAAATCAATATTAGTTGGTCGAGTCTTGGTCCACACCAAATGTTACCAAATGAAACTCCCCTAAAAATAAGAAGCATTATAGAAATTTGGAAAAAAAATTATTTGAGAAAAAGAATATATACCTTATTCTTTTACTTCTTTCCATTAAATACAATTTTGAAAGAATATTTGCAAAATATCTTTTCGGGGATGCAAAAAAATGTATTAAAAATATATTCTGTAAAATTATAACATACTGCAACGCTGGCCTTAGGTAAACTTTGGCCCTGTGCAAAGCACCCATTTGGTGCCCCCTTCCCTGTCCCTGTATTGCTCCGCTCTTTTTTCAGTTACGACATAAGCTATGAAACATGTGTTATGATGCTATACATGTAGCTAACCATACACATTATAAAATGCACAGTAATTTAGAATGTTTAGTTTTTCTACGGTACTTTGTTCCCTTTCCACACCACCTTTGGGGTCGTCCATAATCTGCCCCTTTGAGATAGGAACTATTGGCATGTTTTTGTTAAAGGAGTATCCCCAGGCGTCCCTATGGCCATGGCGCCCTGTCAAGGGCACAGGTCGCACACCCTAAGGGCCGGTGTTGCATAATGCCACTTTGAAATATTTTCAATAAATAGCGGACAAGATATGTTTAGTAGTTTTGAAAAAAAGACAGAAAAAGAACTCTTCACAGGTATCTGGGAACACTTAAGTTTTTCAAATTCAAATAATTTGTTTTTCTTGTTTTGTATTGTATTTTGAATAAGGCATTTAGCCAAAATGTCCCTTAATTGTTCTGTCTTTTTTCCCAAGTTTAATTATAACTTGTTCCACCACTATTTATTTATTTTACATGGCTTGAATGGAGTCCCTCATATATTATTAAATGCTTTATTTACAAAATTGTAAAAAAAAACTCATTTGAAAAATATGAATTTGATCTTTTAGTTAATATTTTACTGTATTTTTACCTCATAAAATAAACATACAATTATTGAATATAATTAGTTCCCACCTCTTAAAACAAAAACTTTTGATTTAAAAATCAATTTTTATAATGGAATTTTGTGAAATGTTTAAATCTATCAATTTAAGGCAAAAGCCCTCAAGGCTAGCCCAACTCCTCCTTCTGCCACTGGGCCAGTTCCTGCCCCACCCAAGCAAAGCAAAGGGGGTGCCATGGATGCCAAAGCTGCTCAGCAGACTGATGAAATTCTAAACTCTATATTGCCACCTAGGTAAAATGCATAAGCACATGGGACAATATTATGTCAATATAATATGTATATGATCGTTTAAAATAGGTAATTTGTTATTTTAATTATGTCTTTTAAATACCCTTCAGGGGGTTTTATTATCTTCATTTCCTTTGGGATCTGTTTGTGCCATACTGATGGAACTATTCCTGATGAAGCTATATTAATCTATGAAATGACAAGAATATATTGGCTTTTTAATCAAGAATCTAAACCTGATTTGGCCCTAAGATAAAAATATTAAAAATAATTTTAAAAAATTAATCAACAAATATTTTTATAAACTTTGTTACTTAAGGGAGTGGACTGAGAGCGGGCAGCTGTGGGTCCAGCAGGTATCAAGTACCCCCGCAACCAGACTTGATGTGGTAAATCTTCAGGAGGAACTGGACAGAAGGCTCCAGCAAAGGCAGGCCAGAGAAACAGGAATTTGCCCAGTTCGACGTGAGCTGTACTCACAATGTTTTGGTAAGATGTGGGCTTAAGATAATTCTCTAAACATAAAATTTAGCAAAAAATTTATTTTTACTTATGCTTTTTGCCAATAAAATCCTTATGGAGCTTTGAAAACCAAAACATGTTTTATAAGTAAAATTTTAAGAAGAAGCCTGCTATTGGTTCAATAATTTCTAAATTTTGTATTTCAAAAAGGGTTTCACTTTCATTGCTTGTGTCTTTATGCTTATTTAAAACACTTGAATTTGTAGAGGAAAAATTTGGAGTTTTATATCACAAATATTAAAAAATATATCTATTGCGTAAAAAATGGTTGCAGCAAACAGTATGAAATACAGTATGAAATGAAGATATAAATACATGGAAAAAATCATGTAAATCAACACAATTTAATGTGCACTCTGTATTTTAAGTAATTAAAAACATTTATTTTGGAATATGCCATTCAAATCCTTATTTTTCTTCCCTGCAGATGAATTAATCCGTCAAGTGACAATCAATTGTGCTGAGCGAGGTCTATTGCTTTTAAGGGTGAGGGATGAGATTCGCATGACAATTGCAGCCTACCAGACACTTTATGAAAGCAGTGTTGCATTTGGAATGCGTAAAGCTCTCCAAGCGGAACAGGGAAAGGCAGATATGGAAAAAAAGGTTAATTTTATGAATTGGTATTATTTAGGGTTGCATGTTCATAAATGTAACATTAATTTAATAAATTTAAAGCTTGCTGTGCTATTCTGCCCTTGATGTGCAATGATATGATTTACAATAATTCAAATTAATTTGCGATGAATGTCAAAAGTAAATATTTTTGTTTTTTAAAGATATTTTCTCAGGTTAACTCATTCCCTCCGGAAGTACAACTTCCGTACTTAATTTAGTTTCCTGAGAAAAGGGAAGCAACTCAGTTTTGAAATTGATTTACATTTTAAAATATTTTTTAAGCTGCTAAATAATAAATGTTAATCAAATAAGGAAAAATGCATAAAAAAATGAATAAGGTTTAATAAAAATATAACATTAGCAGCGAAAAAATAATGAACAATGGCCAAAAAATCTATTTTTGGCACCTTGGACGAACACATGCTACATATAGACGCGCTGTTCTAGAGCACACATAGTATTAAAGTGAAACAAGATAAAAACTTCTGGTTTTTAAATTAAAATCACGCAGAAATCACGCCATAGCTGGAAGTCTCGAGGAACGGGACATTTCATTGCTATTTTTAACTAAAAATAAGAGAGGTGTCTCGCTATGCGCCGGGAGGCATTTGGATGCATCAGGAGAAACCCCCAAAGGACGCAGTTAGTCGCAACCATCGGGAATGAGTTAAATAGGATTACTTAAAAGAAAAGTACATAAAATAGTTATGACTAGAGCGTGGAGTTTCCTTTTTTGTCTTATATATTTACATGTCGGTAGATAAAGATTTTGTTTTAATGCTTAAAATAAATCTTTTATGTCCAGATTTTGGAGCTGGAAAGTGAGAAACGGGACCTGGAGAGACAGGTGAATGAACTGAAAGCCAAATGTGAACAAATTGAGAAGCGTGCAGCTGAACAAAGACAAGTGGAAGAAAAGAAGCACACAGAGGAAATTCAGTTCTTAAAACGTACAAATCAACAACTGAAGGTAGAAATTCATTTACACTCAAAATGTGATCAAATGTTAAGTGCTGAAAAATAGAAAGCAAAAATATCCTTGACAATTATTGTCTACAATAATTCTTTGATATTTTTTTTATGTTACACTGGCATATCAATACCAGCTTCCTGAAATTGTATGATGAAATTTTATGATTTGATAGCAGAAATAGATGAGAAATTCTGCTGCAATTATTAAAAAAAGGAACATTTTAAAAATTAGAAGAAAAAAAAGAAAAACAGAAGAGCAATATTCAAATCATTATAATTATGCTTAATGATTCATTATTGACTTTGTAATATGTCATGTGTACATCTTGATCTGCAAACTTACTTCTCAAGGATTCTTTGCTGGTGGCTAAAGCAATGGGTAATTTATGTAGAAATAGATTTATATTTCACATATTCATTTTTTTGAATATATCAGTCTCACAGAATGCATCACATAAATTGATGCATGTACAGAGTAGACCTGCTGATGAATACATTGTTTAAAATATAAAAAAAATAATTCACTTAGAAGTAATTTGGTTTGTTGCAATAGACTATACATTCACACATTTACACAATTATCAAAATATATTTCACTTTTTTTTTTTTTATGAATTATGTATCTTATTTTAGTATATTTTTTCCACAGTTTTAAGCAATATTATTCTTAAGAAATTATTTTGCCTATCATTTCATCTGTTTTCAACTCACAATAAGCAAATAGGGCTGACAGTCAAAGGCAATGAGCCTTTTGGTGGGATATTAATATACTTAATCAATGGAATGTATCAATCTCCATATAATTTCATTTTTGTAGGCAGTCAGAACAAATTTGCATGCATGTTTTTACTAATAGATGAAGAGTTAAGTCATGAAATTATAATAGATTTTACAGTCTATTTACAACAAAAAAACAACAACTATTTTTGAATTCATGTGAGTGGTTTATTTATATTTATATAAATCAGACTTTATTAATCTATTTAAACAGCAGATTAGAAATACCATTGGGGATGGTGTGTGAATTTTCCATGCATTCTAAGCTCATAAGATCCCCTAAACAAGCTGTTTAAAATAAAATACTCAAAAATCAGTTTACATAACAACAAACACAATATTCACCAAATTACTATTTTTTTCCTTACTATTTCAAACAAAGATTTTCAAACTTAATAAAAATAATACAACTTTAGACTGCTTTATGAACATTCCTAATTTTTTTTTTTTCATTTAATAAAAACAGACACAGCTGGAAGGAATAATAGCCCCGAAGAAATAGGCAGCAATAATGACGACAGCAACAACAAAAAATTGGAAGATTTACAGAGCTTTGATACAGATGAGGATTTCTATTTCAATGCACAACAACCATTTCCTGGAAACATAGACTTAGGTGGCCTTGATGTCATGCAAGGGGAGACAACTACGTATCTACTGGAGAAATTCATTCAAATTTGACCAATGGATGAATTGTGTAATGCGTTTTTAAATTTTAAATTTGGAGTAGATGATAAAACCTCACTTTTTAAAAAATTTTTGTTTTGAACAAATAATTATTTTACAAGTCTAACTCTATTTTTTTTATGAAGGAGATTATTCTAACATCAGACATCTTTATGGTCACATGTTTTTAGTAGTTTTTCTGCCTGATCTATACATATCAGATGGACTGCACATCACTTGCTGCAAATTATTAATAATAAATTAATGACAAAGCTACAACATCGGCTTAAAAAATTAATTTACATATCAATTTCACAACACTAATTCTATTATAATTTATACATCTAATGAGAGGTTTACAACAAGAACAAAAACACCCAGTAACTTACAGTAAACTGCTCAGAGATTTTCAATATTGCTGTTAATCACTGTCAGAACTGAATGACATCTTTTATTCAACCTATCAGGGTTGGAAGGTCAGCTGCTGATTTTTGGATGCAAACGTTAAGTAGTTTTACAGTATACATATGACAATGATTGTTTTGTCCTATTTGTGAACCATATTTTAAGTATACCATACTGCTGAAATGACCAACTGCTTCTCACCTTGCAACTTTTTACACTCTTTGATTATTATGTACAAATAAGTGGAATTTAAAAATGTTTTACTTTTTAAACTATATAAATATTTGTATTAAAGAATTATTTTCTGACTAGTTTATTGATTAAATTTGATGTTAAGTTCATCACCCTACCACCTTTTCAATGAGTGGAAAACTGCTGTTCACTGTGATAGTAATAAAAAAAATTATGCAATAAACAATGAAAAAAAAACAGTTTTTTGGTTATGCTCATTTTGTTGTACAGTACTATACACTCTTGTATTGTTTTACAGTACTGTATGCTCTTGTTTTGCTGTACAGTAGTCTATGCTCTTGTTTTGTTGTACAGTACTCTATGCTCTTGTTTTGTTGTACAGAAGTCTATGCTCTCGTTTTGTTGTACAGTGCTCTATGCGCTTGTTTTGTTGTACAGTACTCTATGCTCTTGTTTTGTTGTACAGTACTCTATGCTCTTGTTTTGTTGTACAGTACTCTATGCTCTTGTTTTGTTGTACAGTACTCTATGCTCCTTTTGTTGTACAGTACTATATGCGCCTTCTTTCATCATTTGAATATATTATAACATTTCATTAAAATTGTCATTAAAAAGGGGCTTTTTGGTGAGCTAAATAATTAAGGAAACAGATAATACAAATAAGAAGATTAAATGGTTCACTGCTCATGTTAGACACTTTATCAAGTTATAACATCAAACTTGCATGAAATCCATCTTGAGAAATTATATTAATTAATAAATACTCTATAAAGGCAGTGGATGGCCTTCTTGTTTTTTGAGTTGGTCGATTGAGATAACTGTTTAATTGAGGTATTTTGAGATTTAATTAACAGGACTACAGGTGTCACTTAGATGAAAACAACAACATTGCAGATGTCAGATGATGAATTTAACATTACAGGTGTCACTTAGATGACATCAACAACATTGCAGGTGTCACTTAGATGACATCAACAACATTACAGGTGTCACTTAGAAGATAAAACAACAAGGTTATGAAAGTGATGACAAGTTTTATTATGAATTCGGCAGTAACATTATCCTTTTTCCAATAACTTTTTTATACAGTAATACAACAATGCCTATAACACCCTTATAGAATAGTGAACAAATAATTGTGTGTGTACATGAACAAATTGGTCTGTCACAACTAACATACACAAGTGGGACAGTTCCATGAAACAGAAGACTGTATTAAATAAAGTGAACAGGTTTTAGTATGTTTGAAATGCCCCCAAGGATTCCTGACTGATGCTTACATTTTATACCTGATACTGAAAAAAAACAACAACAGATTTTGTACATAAAATTTTGGAGTGTGATAAATGCATTAGCTATGTAATTAAATAAGAGAACTTGTTTCCATCCTGTACTCATCTAAAATTTAACATAATTACGGATAAAAAACATGTACTTATCTAAATAAAAAACATTACAGATAACATAATAATAAAAAAGATGAGATAACTCTTCAGTTTTGTTAGAGTGGACCAAGAATTGAAAGTGTGGCTACCAAGGGGAGATAACATGATTTTAAGTGAGAAAAACAGCAACTCATAAAATGAATTCAATGATTTGAGAATTTGTAACACAGACAGAAGATTGAAAATTTAAAACTTGGAAATATCAATCTTTATCAACTTATGCATGACAAAGATTGTAACATGAAATGCAGAGCTTAGCTGTACAGGAGTCAGAAGGGAGAGAGATATTGAATTTTAAAAAACTTCATCCGGCTTGCATGGCAGTGAAAACAAATATGAAATGGCACAGTGAAATTACAGCAAATCAGTTGGCAGACTGTTGAATGAAGGAGGCCATGTACATTACCAAATATATAAAACAGACTGGACATCAAGGCCACAGTAAATGAAAGTGTGGTGTTCAGAATATTCTCTAACAATTACAACAACCAGGGAAAAGAAATGATCTTTCCGGACATCCTATAGGGTCAATTTAACCCACTCGTATTAAAACAGATATGAATGCAAATATAGACTGTATTAAATTTTGAGATCGGCTGCTTTATCCACCTAATATAACTTAGCAATTCTCAATCTTTTTAGCCAGACTGACTGGCAGGAATTTTCCAAACTTAATGACAGACCCGTCCTCTATTTGATTGTTGATATTGTCCTATCTTTTGAAATTTTTTAATCTTCTGTGGACTAGGTGATGGAGGTCACCACTTTGAGTAGTAATGATATAATTTTAAATCTTATACTTCAAAAGGATTTCCTGATTATCTACTATAAACTAAAGGATATTTCTAAAACATTCTACTGCACATAAAAATTAATTAATTTAAATCCAAATTTGAATGGACTTTTGGTTATTTTGAAAAAGGGGTTGGTGATAAAGAATATATCATTTTGAAATAGGTCAGTAATATTGGAGTAAGAACATGAAAATGAACTGAGGGCAAGATTACATCAGCTGTGAATACAAAGGTGCTGAACTTTGATGAGATTCCTGACCAGTTTTCCCAAGGATTTCTTCAGTGCTGGGACATCATTGAGTACATTCTCTTCAGAGAGCTGGATTGTGGGATTGCTGTGTTCAGCTGTCTCCAGGTCTGAAAAAGAAATTAGCATAAAGTTTATAATTATAATCGAATGACACTGTCGGAAAATTGATTCAATATACGTTCTCTAATGCCAGTTTTTCACAAGTACTGCAATAGCATGAACATGCTTTAAGTTAACAATGTTATGAATATGATTGTAGTGTGGTATGGAGATTAAGCTTTACAAAAAATTATGGAAATTTCATCATTCTACAGGATGGATGACATAGGTGAATGGGATGGATGATATGAATGGATGACATGGGTGGATGAGATGGATGATATGAATGGATGTTGTATTGTGTGGATGGGATGGATGATATGAATGGAAGACATGGGTGGATGATATGGATAATATGAATGAATGACATGGATGGATGGGATGGATGATATGAATGGATGACATGGGTGGATGGGATGGATATTTATGGATGGCATTGGTGGATGGATGATATGAATGGATGACATGGGTGGATGGGATGGATGCAGGGCTACCACACCTTGGGAATTCACGACCCCCCTTGGGATCTGGGGAATAATTTTGAAAATCAGGCAAAACCTTGGGAAATCTTAACTGGGGGAAAATTTTAATATATTTTTCGAAAAAACGCAACAATATGTGATAAAATTAAAGTGAAAATAAAGCAAAATAATTTTTAAAGTAACAAGGCAAAAAATTAATTAATTGTTTTAATTTTCTTTTCTGGTTTTAATTTTTAAATCCACTCATGAAATAAATAAAAACTCTTCTGATATTAAAGTTAATATTACCGGTATTGTGTATTGTTAAAAAGTTAATAATTTTAAAAAAAATTAAATTCTCTCTCTTTTTGTTTAAATTGAAGATTTACAAATTACATCCAGGTTTATTAAATGGTGGGGGGGGGGGGGGAGGGGGGGAAGGGCTGGAAAATTTGGGGGGGAAGGGCGGATAGGCTCGGAAACTTTATCATTAGGCTATCAGACATTAGCAACCATACGAAAAACAGTACAAGCCGAAGAGTGAACGATAGTGTTCAATCAAGAATCCATGCCATAGTAAAATTTGATTATTTCAATTACTTCTACCATGTGTTCAAAATATAATGCATCTGTAAAAAATCCAGCCTAATTTTCATCAGTTGGAAAAAATATTTATGGATTGAAACACAGGTAACTAAGATATTAAAAGTATAGGCCTACGTTGTAGGATTATAAATGAACAATACCTTTAAAAGTATTTTTTGTTGTTGAAAAAATCGTTACAATGTAAATTTACAAGAAAAAATAAAAATACTTATTATTTCCATAATAATATCAATCCATTTCAACTACAATTATTATTAATAAATTTTGCTTAGTTGCTTGGGTGGATGATATGAATAGATGACATGGGTGGATGGGATGGAGGATATGAATGGATGACATGGGTGGATGGGATGGATGATATGAATGGATGACATGGGTGGATGGATGATATGAATGGATGACATGGGTGGATGGGATGGATGATATGAATGGATGCTATTGGTGGATGGGATGGATGATATCAATGGATGACATGGGTGGATGTGATGGATGATATGAATGGATGACATGGGTGGATGATATGAATGGATGACATGGGTGGATGGGATGGATGATATGAATGGATGACATGGGTGGATGGGATGGATGATATGAATGGATGTCATGGGTGGATGTGATGTATGATATTTATGGATGGCATTGGTGGATGGGATGGGTGATATGAATGGATGGCATGGTTGGAAGAATGGGCAAAATGGTGAATGAAATTGGTGACCGGGGCAGGTTTCTTACATTAAACTTTGTTTTAATTAATCTCTTTAAAGCTGAAATAAATCAAGCTAACTGACCATTGATCTGCTGTTCCAAGATCTCCAATTGTTTCTCAATATCCTGATGAACTTTGGCCACATGAACCAGCAAATTATGTTCACAGTTCTTGTAAGGATCTACAGACTCTTCGGCTGTGTCAGTCTGGAATAAAAAAAACCCAGATATATGACTTCATTGGGAACAGATGCATGATGAGTCACTGTGTCAGTCTGTCATAGACGAGGGATATATTACTTCATGGGGACCAGACACATGATGAATCACTGTGTCAGTCTGCCATAGACAAGGGATATATTACTTAATGGGGATCAGACATATGATGAGTCACTGTGTCAGTTTGTCATAGACAAGGGATATATTACTTCATGGGGACCAGACACATGATGTGTCAGTCTGTCATAGATGAGGGATATATTACTTAATGGGGATCAGATCCATTATGGGTCACTTAGTAAGTCTGTCATAGACAAGGAATATATTACTACATGGGGACCAGACACATGATGAGTCACTGTGTCAGTCTGTCATGGACAAGGGATATATTACTTCATGGGGACCAGACACATGATGAGTCACTGTGTCAGTCTGTCATAGAAAAGGGATATATTACTACATGGGGACCAGATACATGACAAATCACTGCGTCAGTCTGTCATAGATGAGGGATATATTACTTCATGGGGATTAGACTTATGATGAGTCACTGTGTCAATCTGTCATAGACGAGGGATATATTACCTAATGGTGACCAGACACATGATAAGTCAGTCTGTCATAGATGAGGGATATTTACTTAATGGGGATTAGACTTATGATATGTCGCTGTTGACATAAGTATTAAAACATCTCATTCATTAGTATTGGTGGGACAGAGCTTGCACAACATTAGGGTATTATTCACATGGTCCAGGGTTCAATACTCAACAGACGGATAAATATGTGGAATCAATTTAATAACCCATGTCCACATCCCCCCCAAAACAAAAT